GAAAGACAGTTTGGTTCTTTTCACACTACAAATGGCCATGACGGAGTCCCTGTTTCCAAGAATTAGCGAAGCACATACACCAAAGGAGGCGTTGGACACTCTACAAGAAGAATATCAGGGCAGTGATAATGTACGCCATCTAACTTACAAACTCTAAGAAGAGATTTAGAAAATATGAAGATGAAAGAATCCGAGACCGTAAAAGATTACTACACTCGATTAAGAGAGATAGTAAATCAGCTAAAAGTATATGGAGAAAATAACACTGACTAAAGGGTGGTAGAAAAAATTCTAATTACTTTACCAGCTAAATATGATCCTATCGTCAGAACGACAGAAGAAACTAAAGATTTGGATAAATTCTCAGTGACTGAATTAATAGGTTCACTCGAAAACTATGAGAAAAGACTGAATACGCGTGAAAATGATACAGTTGAAAATGCATTTCAGTCAAAATTAAATTTATGGTCTTAGAATTGTAAAATTAGGGGGAAAAAATTTAGACAAAATAACACAAACTAAATATCGTATGATACACCATGTGGAATTTGCAATAAAAATAATCACAAGGAAGAAGAATGTTGGTTTCAAGAGAGAAATCGATGCAAAAATTGTCAGAAGTATGGCCATGTCGAGGAAAACTGTTGGGGCAGAAGACAAAGTCAACGAGTCAATTTTTCAGAAGAGACTGGACCAGAAGTATTATTATTCTATGCTTTCAACGGTACAACAAAAGACAAAAGAAGCATTTGGTACTTGGACAGCGGCTGCAGCAATCACATGACATTCGATGAAAGTATCTTTTGCAATATTGAAAAATTCAGTTCAAAAGTCAAGATTGGAAATGGCAACTACGTGGAAGCAACGGGCAAAAGAACCATCACCATTGACACAAGAAAAGGGACAAAATACATCAAAGATTTCCAATTGGTTCCAGCAATTGATCAAAATCTATTAAGTGTTTGTGAAATGTTGAAGAAAGGCTACAACTTGCATTTCATGAGGGAATCATGCAACATTTATAACAAGAACAATAAAGTAATTGCAAAAATCAAAATGATGGAGAATCAGTTTTTGCAATGGAATTTCAATACCCAACACAAATTACCAAATCAAGTGTGAATAGTGAAGAAGAAGACGACAAGAAGAAAATACTGAATATCTAGAATCAAGTCATCAAGAAAAGCAAGTTCTCACAATTATCAGAAGACAAGTTTCAAAATCACCAGAACAAAAGTCAGAATTCTATAGAATGTGCAATCGAGCAATTGTCGAGCCAATAAATACAAGAGAAATCACTACAAAAAAAAATTTGAAGACAAGTTATACAAAACTGCTACATACATGGACAAGCAAATAGAGCTCAAGTATCTCCCCCACAAAAGACCAACTAGCGGATATCATCACAAAGACTTTACTGCGACCAAGATTCGAGACTCTACGCGAAAAACTTGGAATTATCCAAATAAGCATTAAGGGATTAATGCTTAGTTGGAAGTTGGTAATAGAGTAGTTGCTATAATTAAATGAGTTAGTTGGTAGTTAGTGGTTAAGAAAAAACTAGTGTGTACCCCGTGCGATGCACGGAAACAATATTAAATCAACAATAATATAAATAGACCTCGAGTTTTAGTCACTCAATGGCGGAAGTGGAAACTACTATTGATCATATTTAAAAAGAGGAAGAAAAAAATAATTATAAATTAAAGAGGAGGATAAACGATACTTAATAATTATAAATTAAAGATTCGGGGTCAAACAATATAAAATTATTTTGTATAAGAGTATATAAAATTTGCATTATTTTGTATAAGAGAATATAAAATTTGGATGTCTAATATTAAAACACCTAAAATATTATATTAGTATATGTGAAAGTATTCAAAATTTCTATATTATTTTTGAAAGATGTAAAGTCACCTACAACTTTTCTAAACAATTTTAGAAGGAAAACATATCTAAAAATATTTGAATTTAACATTGTGTAAAAAAGATTTTTTTAGACTATTTTGTAAAGAATACATGTCTACGGATATTTAAATTTAACATCAATTATGTATATATGTGTGTATATATATATATAGACGTGTGTATATATATATAGACGAATATGTAAAAAAAAATATGTAAACAATTTGTTTAAAGTATCTAAAATATTATAAGTCTAATTTAATTACATACAATTTCAAAATTATTATTATTGCGTTACTTCCATTTAACAAAATTTTATTAAATACAATTTCAACACAATTTGTTATTTTCTTAACAAAGGGAAACTTCACAAAAACTATCGCTGGTTTTTAAAGCGAAACAAATCTACAAAATTTATTATTTTGTTAACCTATAAAATAAGAAAAAGGGAACCATCAGAAAAACCAGCGCCGCATATATTCATTAAAATTATCAATAGCGTATTTAGTACCAAAAAATCAGGTGATTTGTTACCCTATCTATTAAAAAAAACAGGAAAGATATTTACTATGTTTTAGGATGTACACTTTTAATGATAGATTGGCGGGTGAATATCTATACATAATTGGCGGAAATTTTTTGCGGCAATGCATAAAAGGTTATTCTTTTAATATAATTATAGATTAGTTATTTGTTAAGAAAAATTAATGATGTTACTAGTATAAATATGGGTGTAGTGCGTGTGTATTGAAGCAAGTAAAAAAAAGGAATTGATCAAATAAAAAGACTATCTCTTTGTACCCAAAAAAATAAGACTATCTCTCAGAACAATTTCTCCCCATATTTAATTTTTAATATTCAAAAGATTTTTTTTTCACTATTATTTATTTCCATTAATACAACTCTTCCCCAATTACATCTATAAATTATCTTTGATACCAATTTAGTATATAATTGAAGAAGGTAGAATAAATGATGAACCACTTTATGTTTCTTAGCTTTATTGTTTCCAATAATAAAGTTATCAGATCCCACACCGAAACTGTTGCCCGCTCCTCATAATTTTCTTGTTTTCCACTCCAAATGCTATCCACATTTCCTCCTTTTGTCAGTTTTTGAGTCCCACAAAAAAAAAAATGAAAACTTGCCCACCTTCATAAAGTCATGCTGCCATGTTCTTCTTCACTAATTCATGAGAAAAAAATCTTATTGAGTGCCAGTTAATAAAAACGTCTGATGATGAGGGAATAAGAATATAGGGAAGATGCTACGGTCCCGTTGCGGAACTATTCCGTCGGAGTTTGTAACCGTTGGATCAACTATCTTTGTCGGTTACGTGATGATTTAACGGTTACAAATCCCGACGGAATGGTTCCGTAACCGGACCTTAGCACTTCCCAGGAATATAGTTCAATGATTGGGCTTCACATTGTTTGGCTTAAGCTGCTGGACATTAGTCCTTTGTACTCATGTTAAGACACTGTTATTAATTTACTGTGCTGACACATGCAGACAATTTGATGAGACAAATTTGAAGGATTTTGTAACAATTTCTGTGTTGATGATCACATCAACATTTTTACTGCTGTAATTGTTTATTACAGGTTTCTTGATTTGGTTGAGCAGTGTATGAAGAATCTGCAAGAAAATTGAAATGATGTTTGGGTGAATAATTGTTAAGTAGTAGGCCTTTGTGTTCCCATACCCTCTTGCTAGCATTACTTGCCAAAAGTTAAGTGTCCAGTTTCAGGAGAGAGAGAGAGAGAGAGAGAGAGAGAGAGAGAGAGAGAGAGAGAGAGAGAGAGAGAGAGAGATTGGCCTAGTTTCCCTTCATGGCCTAGTTTAATGTGCTACTAATTAACAAACTAAAATAAAATTTAAAAAAAAAAAAATATCAAGAATTTTTTATTCTTTAGAGAGTATATAATGAGAAGTTTTTGAATTGATGGAAATAAAATTATTTCTTGAATGAAATATTTTGAAATGGGTAAGAAGAACTCATCTTATCCAGAAATCAATATTTTCTTTTCTGTATATAGACATGGACAGGTGGGTGTTTGGTTTTGTGGGTGAAGTTAAAGGCTTAAATCCAAAAATTTGTACACAGCTATGCTGTATTCTTGTTGATTTATCGGCTCGGTTTTTTGTTTCGATTCGTTTGCCGTTTTCTAACACATCTACAAGGTTCTGAGCTCGACTATGACCATTACAACTTTTGGCCTCTGTAATTGTCATTCAGATTCATTCATTAGATTTCAGACATATTCACACATCTATTAGGTGTTCATATTCAGAACAAAAAGGTGTGAACAACTTGTGGCAACAATGAGAGTGGGAGGACACAAGAGCTTGTCCCACATGACAACTCTAAAGTTGCCTCAAATTATGTACCACTCTCTTCTTCTCCACATTACAAGTTATCATTCTCTCAATAACTCAATGCCCATTTGATTGCACTTTCTTCCACATACCTCAATAATAATATCATACTAATAAGGTTCGAATAAGTTTCGCGAAAAAAAAAAAAAAAAATCGGGAATGGGAAAACATAAATTAAACACTAACAATACGGTTATTTGTCGTACAACTTTTTTATTAATGTATGGTGCCAGAAGAGTGGAAGTGGGTGTCATCCAGAGTCGAGCCACGATTAAAGTAGAAACCAGACAAGATCAGAATTCATTCATCATTCGAGAAACTCGTTCGTACCGTTCATGGTTTTCTCCTTCTTGCTTTATCTATAGTACAGATTGACATAATAAAAGTGGGATAGGAACAAGCTAATGGAACAAGGGCCACCCCAACTGGTACTATTTCCCTTTACCACCAGATTGCAAAATTAATTTTCGCTTCGATTTTACTAGACTCGATCGATTTCACTCATACGTAGCATTTTATCGTGCTTGTAACAATAATAAAGCATCGATCATCCTTCTTTCAAGAATCACCGACTTAAAACACATTGATATTGTTTCAGTACACATAGCAGAAGTTGTAGTAAACTTAAAATACACAACAATCACAACAAAGAAAACGTAATTGTTTCGATTTTCAACCTTAATTGTTTCGAAAACACTTAATTAAACCTCTCAAGGACTGAACTTTTGGCGGCACGACTGGCATGTTACCTCCACCTCACGAGCCGCGCGGTCCTTCATCCTGTTGACCAGCTCGACTTCCTCCCGAGCCCTCTCCCACATGGCGCGCGCACGGGCGAACTCGTTGTGGGCAGCCTCCATCTCGCGCCTCGTCAGCTCCCGCACGCGCTCTGCGTACGCTCTCTCCACGGCCGCCAGCCGGATCTGCTCGGCCACCTCCCACCTCAGGGCTTCCGCGGGGCCCACGTCCTGCAGCTTCGTTAGGCGCGGGCCCACGCTTATGGACAGCCGGAGGTCGAGCGGCGGCTGGGATTTCGCGTGTGGTGGGGAGAGTAGTTGCATTTCTCTGTGTTGATTTTCTTCTTCTTGTGCCTCCATTGATGGAGGATTTTGATAGTGTGACATGCAAACAAGGGGGAAAATAAGAGGAGATGAAAAGGTGTATCAAGTTTTGGAAATTAATTTGAAGGGAGATATATGTGTATAAATATATATAGGGAGATTGGTACGGTCCGGTTACGGAATCATTCCGTCGGGGTTTATAACCGTTAGATCAACTATCTTCGATGGTTACATGATAATCTAACGGATACGAACCCGGCGGAATAGTTCCGTCCCATATATATAAGTATTTTTGTTTTTCCTATAAGATTTAAGAAAGAGAAAGTGTCTAGAATGGCCACTCACTCTCCCATGCAGAAGAAAGGGCTAGGGACCAACGAATGCTTAACATCATTAGTACCACAATTCTTATCTTAGCATTGCATGATCCCACGAATGGATCTAATTGCACCTTCATGTGCGTAAACATATTATATTAGTTAATTCATGGGTCTTCAACATGTGAATTTTAGAAAACATTTTTGGATTTGGGGCCTAAATCAAAAGTTAAGAAAATTAGTGAGTTGGCTTTTTAGCCATTTTCACATGCAAATTTTAGCCATGTTTTGTAAAAGCTATAAATTTTGGCCATTTTGTCTTATTAAATGTCTATATTACTCTTATGATTTATAAGAGAAAAAAATATCTATTTCTCATTTTTCTTGGAAAATTAAGGTTTGAGAAACTTAGATTATTGTTTGAGGTGATCCTCTTATTATTCTTCATTACTTTTGTTAATGACTTTTGAAATTTTGGAGGATATACCAGAATAGCATTAAGTGTTTAAATAGTAAACTATGATGTAAGTTCACGCAATTGCAGAAGCAGGGTTCTACAAAACATGAACCTTCAGGGAGCATCTCACCCCTCTTCCGAAACTCTTTCGTGTATATAAGTGTTTGGACTATTACACTTGGGATTCACAAAGAAGACTCCCTTGTAATCACCCTCAACTTACACTTTGAAAATGTCTGGATCTTCATAAAGAATTTCGAACCTTTTCGGAAACAGTTTAACTTTTAAAACTTATCTTAGGGTACTTACTTAAAAACTCTTAACTTTACTGAAACTGATTTTCTCTTCTGAACTTACTTAAGGTAACTAACTTAAATGCTTATGGGAACTTGTACCCCAATTGCTAACTCCACTTTCAAACTCATAAGTAAGGCATATCTCATGCAATAACAACTTAAAGATTTCAAAACATCCAAACATAGTCTCAAACCTTTCAAAATAACAAGTTCGAAAATGTTTAAACCGGAAGCGTAAAACTGCAACATCTCATAATGAACACCACTGCCCCTCGAGTCCAGAGCCAAATTTTAACATAAAAACGATAATTGTGGGGAGTGAGCAAAACAACTAGCTCACCATGTTAACTTGTGCTATGCGATTATTCGTAATAATAACAGATACCATAATCTCAGCATATAAATGAATAAACTTGTCTCAACTGAACTCATCTGTCGGATACACTGGTAGCTACCAGCTCGACAACGGAAGACTATCTCATGTGCACAATTTTTACCGTCAGTTACATGGGTTGGCCCACTCAATAACGAGAGACCTAACAGATGCCTAGGCTTATGAAAATACTCACAAACATACTTTAACTATAATACCTTGCGATTATTAAAAATAAGACATAGTATAGAAATCCCCACCTTAACTGCTGACTGACTGAAAGAATGAAAATGCATGCGTGTCTTTGTGAGGGTTGGACTTCCCTTAATCTAATATTTAATTAATTTAATCTTATTATTACTGGATTTGAATAACATGCAGCACAAACTGGCAATTAAGGCAATCAAGGCAAATAAAACAAATAAGACAATTAAAAGCAAATTAAGCACATAATTCTTCTAACTCTTTCTCTCGACTTTTCTAGGCTCGTCTAGGGTTCTCCGATCAATTTCTAAGGCTAAACAAAATTCAAACTTATA